ATTACAACAAATTTCTCAGAGAAATTGACGGAAGAGAGACCAAATATTTGGTATAGGTGGTACTCACCCAAGGGGGCACAGATGGAAACTTAGTACCCAAATGAGCCACAGAGACATTAGAAAGATTTGTTCCATTGTCATAGTAATAAATAAATGGAATACATTAGGAAGAGTATGGTGGAGGCAGTCTCATAAACACTCAATAAAGATATGATAAAGCCCAAAAGGTTCAGTAACTTGTAAACCAGTTGATTGGCAGTTCAGGGGCGGAATCAAAGAGCCGAAGTTCATCCTCTCCTCCCCCCCCCTCCCCATCACTGCCTGCAAGCAAAAGAGGGTTAAGCAATGAGGATAGGTTTAGAATTAGAATTAGAATTAAAATATTTATTTAGGTAAATGTACATACATAAAGAGATTTTACAAAGTTTGTTGGCTTTATAGATAGAGCTAGTACATACAATGCCTAAAGCCACTATTACGCAAAGCGTTTCGGGCAGAAGCAGGCGTTTCGGGCGGAAGGTTAACAAAAGTACATCTCGCAATTCTAGAGGATGGAACGAAAGGAATATGATCGTAACATACAAGATACTGATGGAAATAAACAAGGTGGATAGTGATAGTTTCTTCAGATTCAGAGAAGTGGCGGTCTCTCTCTCTCTCTCTCTCTCTCTCTCTCTCTCTCTCTCTCTCTCTCTCTCTCTCTCTCTCTCTCTCTCTCTCTCTCTCTCTCTCTCTCTCTCTCTCTCTCTCTCCTTTACACCCCTCCTACTGGCAGAAGAACTATGCCTACCGCTGAAGCTATTTTTCACAAAATCTCTGGACCAAGGGATAGTCCCCCCCCCCCCCCAGAGTGGAAATATGCAAATGTCACCCATATTTTCAAAAAAGACAGAAGGAGCTCGGCAGAAAACTACCGGCCGATCTCACATTTACACACTCATGGAGAGAATCGTAAGGGAGAGAATCATTCACCATCTTTCAGTAAACAACTTTATAATATCGACGCAACATGGGTTTGTTAAAAATAGATCCTGCCTTACAAACTTGCTCACAGTTTTGGAACCGGTAACGAGCTACTCAGATAAAGGACTCCCGGTGGATGTAGTATACTTGGATTTTTCTAAAGCCTTTGATAAGATACCACATGTAAGACTGGCGAGGAAATTTGCAGGCTCATGGAATAAATGGTAGATTACTGGAATGAATATAACAATGGTTAAAACCAAGAAAACAAAGGGTCATGCTAAATGGGAGTGAATCTGACTGGAGAAATGTGGTAAGTAGGGTACCACAGGGGTTTATTTTGGGGCCAACCTCTGGTATCCATGCTTTTTGTCATATATACACTAACGATATGGATGAGAGTATTTCAATCCACATTATCAAATTTGCAGATGACACAAAGATATATGGTAAAGTAGGATATGAGAATGATACATGAAGCCTTATATAGCCTACGTGAACTAAGCAAATGCACACGATGTGTCACAATAACGTGGCTAAAGATATGAGGACCACACCACCCGCCAAACAAACTCCGAAACTACGACGTTGGTACAACGTTCGAACAAGTTTTAACACCTAACCAGTTATAACAACCAATATAGCAAGTTGTAACAACGTTCTAATACGTCATAAACACGTTAAGCCAAGATTTAACAGCTTTATTACAAGTTGTAACAAACAGAAAATAGAGACAGTTTCGGTTTGTGTTTCCAGGGCACACATCAAAAGATGGAGAAGCGGCGACGTTTCGGTCCGTCCTGAATTTTACCCGAAGGCCACTAATACTAATGGCCTCGACGAGGACATGAAGCCGGCGGCTTGTCAATGGTCCTCCCATTTCCCCGAAGCAGTTTGATAAAGAAAAAGAGTATGTATGTATGTACTACTTGGAGTCAAAATCCACCATTCACTGAAAGTTGCACAACAGGTAGGATCAGCAGTCAAAAAATTAACCAAACCCTTGGAATAATCAAGCGTGCCTTTAACTCTAAGGAAAAGAAGGTAGTGATTCAATTGTATAAATCTTCAATAATTGTATAAATCTAATTTCTTATATACATCAATGATTTGCCACCAAATGTTTCTAACATTCTTAAACCTATTTATTTATTTATTTATTTATTTATTTATTTATTTATTTATGCATATACAAGAATGTACATAAGGAATGTGAGGATACAAATATGGTAATTACAGTCTTGTAAAGCCACTAGCACGCGCAGCGTTTCGGGCAGGTCCTTAATCTAAGAAAATTTTAAGGAGGTAAATACTTGCAAAATTTATAGAAAAAAAATGATAACAGATTACATGGAATGAAAAAAAAAGAAGATGAGAGAAAATTATAGGTACAGTATATTAAAGCACATAGGTAGCTATGATTGATTGCAATGACAGCTTAAAATGGTAGTTGACAACAAATTGGTAGGCACAATACAGCAGAAACAATATAAGATTGATTGCAATGACAGCTTGAATGGTAGTTGACAAAAATTGGTAGTCACAATACAGCATATGGCTAGCACATAAAAGAAGACAGCAATGAACACAATGATAAGGTTGTTTGATGTTACATAAAAATTAGGAGATTGGGTACCACTAGGTACAGAGCAAATTTAAAGCTCAGTGTAGGAAACTAAATAGATGAAGTTAGGTACTTTTTGGTTTTGCTTTTAAATAAGGCAAAAGTTTTACAGTTTTTCAATTCACTAGGGAGTGAGTTCCATAGACTAGGTCCCTTAATTTGCATAGAGTGTTTACACAGATTAAGTTTGACCCTGGGGATATCAAAGAGATATTTATTTCTGGTGTGGTGATAATGGGTCCTATTACATCTGTCCAGGGAGAGTTTCAGAGCATGGTTTGCATTTAAGAACAGGGTTTTGTAAATGTAGTTGACACAAGAGAATGTGTGGAGGGAGTTAATATTTAGCAAGTTTAGGGATTTAAACAAGGGAGCTGAGTGTTGTCTGAAAGCAGAGTTAGTTATTATTCTGATAGCAGATTTTTGCTGTGTGATGATGGGCTTAAGGTGGTTTGCAGTGGTAGACCCCCATGCACAGATACCATAATTAAGATAGGGGTAGATTAGTGCATAATATAGTGAGAGGAGAGCAGAGTTAGGAACATAATATCTGATTTTGGAGAGTATACCAACTGTCTTAGAGACTTTCTTAGTTATGTGTTGAATGTGGGTGCTGAAGTTGAGTCTCTTGTCTAGGAATAGGCCAAGAAACTTGCCATCATTTTTATTACTGCTGTTAATGTTGTCTATCTGTAGCTGAATTGCATTTGATGATTTGCTACCAAATAAGATGTAGTAAGTCTTTTCGATGTTTAATGTTAGTTTGTTCGTTGACATCCATAAGTGGACTTTTTTTAATTCATTATTCACAACATTATTTAGTGTATGTGGGTTGAGGTTTGAGTAGATAAGGGTAGTATCGTCAGCAAACAATATAGGTTTGAGAATATTAGAGACATTAGGCAGATCGTTTATATATATAAGAAATAGAAGAGGTCCTAAGATGCTGCCCTGTGGCACTCCAACGGTAATTGGTAGAGTGGAAGAAGTTGTATCATTGATGGTTACATATTGGTGTCTGTCACTAAGATAGGATCGGATGTAGTCATCTATACTATTTGTTGACGATACTGCCTTCATCAGTTCTGATCCTAACCCCTCCCCCCCCACACACACACTAAATAATATTGTCAATAATGAATCTAAAAAAGTCCACTCATAGATGTCAACCAATAAACTTACATTAAACATAGAAAAGACCTACTACATTTAATTAGGTAGTAAATCATTCAATCATATTCAATTCAGATAGACAATGTTAACATTACCAATAAAAGTTAGTTAGTTTAGTTTAGTTCATTTATTATGCACCCCATACCCATCTTGTGGGCGGTAGTGGAAAGGGTTACAGAGGCACATAATGGGCTCAGGGACTGAACCCCACAATTCATTTAGTTAAGCAAGTTACAATCTTGATGAGCTAGTTACAAAATTCAATATAAGTCGTCACATCAACAATGGGTTCGAGATCGACCTCAAGTACAGGTTCTAAATTAAGCAACTGACATGTGTGGAGAGCTAGTGTCACAATTTATATGTTTGTCCTGCACACCTGCCTACACAAAAGACTGAACTTCAGCACCCGCACACAACACATCGCAAAAAAAGTATCAAAAACGGTCGGTATACTAGATGGGGGCGGTGTGCAGGATCAACATATTAATTGTGACACCAGTTCTCCACATATGTCACATATTGCTTAATTTAGAAACAATACTTGTTGTCGATCTCGAACCCATTGGTGATGTGACGATATGTATTGAATTTTGTAACTAGCTCATCAAGATTGTAACTTGCTTAGCTAAATGAATTGTGGGGTTCAGTCCCTGAGCCCATTATGTGCCTCTGTAACCCTTTCCACTACCGCCCACAGGATGGGTATTGGGTGCATAATAAATGAACTAAACTAACTCCACACATTGCCATGTACATACTATGTACATGTACAAAACCTTATTCCTAAATGCTAAAGCAATCCCCGTGGTGTAGTGATAAGACACTCGCCTGGCGTTTCACGAGCACTTTGTCCGGGGTTCGTATCCTGGCCGGGGAAGATTTATTGGGCGTCACTCAAATGTAGCCTCTGGTCACCCAACAATAAAATGGGTATCTGGTTGTTAAACGATTTGGTGGGGTCATATTCCGGGGAACATAGGACTAAGGACCGGCCCGAAACGCTACGCGTGCTAGTGGCCGTTTAAGAATGTAACAACTTGTATATATAGATAAATAAATAAATAATAAACAATAATGGGAGAGTGCGTGTGTTCGTCAGACTGCGCACACGGGCCAGACTGGGCTGTGTGGGGTACAAGCTGACAGTGAGGACGGGATCTCGGGGAGGGGCGGTGTGCACTACAGCACTCCTCTATCACAAAGACATTATGGCTCCATTTCAACATTTCTTGATCGTGTTAGCCTTGGGATACATAAGAATGTATGACGGAGTGGTCCTGGACGACAATCTGTGCCAACAGAGCGTCAACTGCTACCACAACCAGTCCGGGCTCTGTGGCCTTCATGGGGACATCTTATCCTGTCGTCACCAGGTAAATTCTTACAGCTTCACTGAATGGACCTTTAAATACTCAACTGATTACGATGAAACGTGCATAGCTCTTAGTTAAATTGTCTTGGGAATATATTCCAGAAGATGACTAGTGGACTGGCGTTGTAGGTTAGTGGTGCGACGCTTGGGGACATTAGTGGCAAGGACAGTTAAAACTGGCTATAATAACTGCCAGGGGGTAAATACCTGGTCTCGGCCTCATATGTGGCTTTAGGGGAATATTCGGTAGGCCATGTTTGACTTTCTGTCCAAAGTGGGATACAATATATCCATGACTGCTTACAAGTCACGGGAGTGCCGTAAGGGGCACTGCTGGAGCAATTTTTCTTTCTTGTAAAATTATTTATTATATTCAAGAAGGTACATAGAGTTTGTGAGAGTATATAACATTGGTGTTCTTATATTCATGCAAAGCCACTTAACATGCATAGCATTTCAGACAATATATAAAATATATATAAAATATATGTATATATACAGTATTATATATATCAAACAGTCAAATGACATTAATATTAACAATATTGAGGCAAAATGTTCTTTTAGTTGCACTTGGCAAGTCTCAAATAACTTTTAATTGCATTTGTCATCTTAAAAGAGTAGACAACTTTCGTCTCAAAAAGACAAAATTATACAATAGGCTATTTTAATGTTAATGATTCCCTTTGTCAGAGACAGGAAGCCAGTACTTAGGCCTGAGGTCCCCTGAAGGTAACTACTAACCTGCCCCAGGATGCAGCCAACTGCTTAACTCTCACATACTGCTACGGTAAAAGAGGTGAAAGGAAAACTTGCCCCGTTTCTGACCTGCCCAGGAATTGAACCTGGGTCCTGGGGTTGTGAGCTGAGGATATAGACCACCATACTATAGGATCCATAAAACTAATGGTATCTAATAGTAACCAGTTAAATTTAATATTATCGTGTTCACGTGTCTATAATTTTTGTCAGGGACAGTTAGCGTGTGTATATTATACTTTAAGCTAAGCTTGTATAGAGGTCCCCAAGGACCAAGTACTGAGCCTCCCCAGGATGCAACCCAACAACAATTGCCTAACTCCCGGGTACCTATTTACTGGTAGATAAAGAGGCATTAGGCAAAAGGAAACATGCCTAACAATTTCTCCTGCTTGGGAATCAAACCTAGGATCCCCTATTGTGAGTTCACAATGAAACCAATTATGCAAAAAATTTTCAAATTTTCAAATTTATGGGTCATACTTGATTTAATTTGTTTTCTAATTTTCAGAGATGTATAGTTCTTAAACTGTAGGATGACACAAGGGGAAATACTTTGAAAAGTGCATTATGAGTACAGTACAGGGGTACCTCAGTTTTAAGAGTTTAATTCATTCCTGGAGACGGCTCGTATTCCGGAAACTCGAATTCCGAAGCTAATTTCCCCATAAGAAATAATGGGAAATGAATTAATCCGTTCCTGACTACCCCAAAAACCCCACATCAAACTAAATTTTTATACCTAATTCATCTAAATAAACCTACAAAACTATGTTCAAGTTATTACTTACCTTGCTGTTGAATGCTGTAGGCGTATGGAAGATGGTGAGGAGGGGGAAGGAGGAGAGGAGTTACTGTTTGGTAGGGGAGTCCCTTTCCATTATCACATCAGGCAGTGAGGACCTTTCTGGTGTGCTCTCCCTGGCACGTTTTATCTCAGTGCCACTAGGTCCTGGTTGAGGCTCGCTGCTCGATTTTCAACTTTGCAGTTCTTCCCATACTTCACACATTTTCTTAATCAAGAAGGGACATCCTCTACTACCTCTACTCACAGCTATTTTCTTAGGTTGAACCTTATCAATGACTTTCTTGAGACCCATGGCGAGATATATAATAACTTTTATGCTCAAATGGCCAAAAAAATGACATAAAACTGTAAATCCTTGTGAAGAATTCAGGTTATCATCTTGAGATGATTTCGGGGCTTTTTTTTTTTTTTTTTTTTTAGTGTCCTCGCGGCCCGGTCCTCGACCAGGCCTCCACCCCCAGAAAGCAGCGCGTGACAGCTGACTAACACCCAGGTACCTATTTTACTGCTAGGTAACAGGGGCATAGGGTGAAAGAAACTCTGCCCATTGTTTCTTGCCGGCGCCTGGGATCGAACCCAGGACCACAGGATCACAAGTCCAGCGTGCTGTCCGCTCGGCCGACCGGCTCCCGATAGGGAGGGATAGTCACTGGGCGGGAGACAATGGTAAACTGAGGGGCGGAGGGGCGACGATCGCCGTACCACCACGCAATAGGTCGCTCTGAATGCGTATCAACAAACTCGCCATCCGAGGTAACCCTCGCCTTCCGAGACATATTTTCAGAGGAAATCCTGCTCGTATTCCGAAAAACTTGCATACAGGGACACTCGTGTTGCGAGGTACCACTGTACTTCAATAAAAATGTAAATAATTGTGTCGGGGGACGGGAAGCCAGGGTGTATTCATATACGTTTAGCTTTTATCTAGGTCCCCTTCCCACCCCCCCAGGCCAAATTACTGATCTGACCTAGGATGCAACCCCACAAGAAGTTGACTAGCTCCTGAGTACCTATTAACTGCTATGTGAACAGAGGCATTAGATGAAAGGAAATGTACCCAATCATTTCGGTCCCACCCGGGATTCGGACCCAGAATTCTCTGTTGTGCGTCGAGAATGAACTCGACTATACTATCTGGACCTTTAATAATAATAATAATAATAATAATAATAATAATAATTAATTGTCGGGGGACAGGCAGCCAGTTTTTACCTATAGTACATGTTTGGCTTATATCAAGGTTCCCCCAAGGGTCGAATTACTGATCCTCCCCAGGATCCAACCCCACAACAAGCTGACTAACTCCTGGGTACCTGCTAGGTGGACAGGGGCATGAGGTGACAGGAAACGGGCCCAACCATTTGTCCCGCCTGGAATTCGAACCCAAAATTCTCAATCGTGAATCGAGAACAAACCCAACTGTACTACCAAGATAAATAAATAATACTACTCTGATAAATAAATACTGTATGTCCAGACACCAGTACCATAAGTAATTCCAAATAAACTTAACAATTTCACAGTAACTATAGAGAAATAGTCATTACCTAAATACAAGCCTAACATGTATGAATACACTCTGGCTTCCTGTCCCCTAACATAATGAATTTTATTATGAATTATACATGTAAAACCCAGACAATAATTTTTTAAATCATCATATGGTGATGACTGCATTTCCCTAGTAACATTCGTGATAACCGCATTTGTACCATAAAATGACAGCAGGATTTTTTCGTGGGTCAAGGTAAACTCCAATACATCCATATAGACGTATTATATCCATATTTGCATCATACAATATGTGTAAAACCCAGACAGTAATTTATTAAATCTTCATATGTTAATCACATTACCCTGTAAATCAACAATTGATGATAATCACTGTCTAAGGGTTAAAAAACCATCAATTTATGTCAAACAAACAATGCTCTCTTGGACATTAAAATAAAACCTAAATAACTGGTGGTTCCCAAGAAATAAGTTATCAAACATTTGGGTAGCTGGTGCCATTATTTAACTCTACTGGGAAGCCAGTGGCCGGACACCCTCAGGTCTGCACATGTCAGGACCTGGCATTATATTTTAGATGTGTTGCCATATAGTATTTATCTCTAGAAATAAAATAATTTATAGAGAGAATATATAATTTTCCCCAAGTTGGACACTTTTAACTTTGTTTAACTCCTAGGAGTGAGGAGTGTTTGTGTTGAAGATACGGATCTCTTCTTGAGGTTATCTTGAGATGATTTCGGGGCTTTTTTAGTGTCCCCGCGGCCCGGTCCTCGACCAGGCCTCCACCCTCAGGAAGCAGCCCGTGACAGCTGACTATCACCCAGGTACCTAATTTACTGCTAGGTAACAGGGGCATAAGGTGAAAGAAAGTCTGCCCATTGTTTCTCGCCGGCGCCTGGGATCGAACCCAAGACCACAGGATCACAAGTCCCACGTGCTGTCCGTTCGGCCGACCGGCTCCCCCATTGGTATGTTTGGCAAATCGGATAGGTGTGTTTGACAAATGTTTATTAGAGAGTAGACTCCAGTAGGCTTTATACCTGAGTTTTACCTGAGAACCATAAACACTAGTGGCCTCGATGAGGACAGGAAGCCGATGGCTTGTCTAATCTCCCCCATTTGCCTTCATGATCTTTTCCAGCTGTCCTTTTACTGTGCACGTGGTTTTGACTGAAACTTCATAGTGCAATTGTTAAGGACATATTTTTGTTGCTTGTATAAATGTTTAGGTAAAGTTAATGTCAAAATGTTCCCAAACTCAATCATTTTAATTTCAAAACACACAGTGATGTAAACATTAAATATAGCCTAATTAAAAAAATAGCAACTCTTAGAGCACCTAAGGGCACTCTGGGCAGTAGAGTGATTAAATGTTAAGAATTTAGGCATTTACGGCTTTGGTGAGTAGGCAGTTCCATGGGTTTATAACCCTGTGGGTGAAGAAGCATCTCCTGTTCTCAGTCCTACATTGTGGCTTGTTGAGCTTGAAACCGTTGCTCATTGTTTGTGTTACGTCTTGCCTTTTGAAGAAATTTTCCTTATCAACATCCTCCAAATTGTTCAGTATTTTAAGTTTCAATGAGATCTGACCTGTCATGCCTGGTTTGCAGTGTTAGCCCTGTGGCCCTCAACTGTTCCTCGTTAATGAGTTGACTTAGCTCTGGAATGATTTTTGTTGCCCGGTATTGTACTTTTTTTTCCAGAGCAGCTATGTCCTCATGAAGATGGGGTCTCCATGCTTGGATACAGCAATCCAAATGGGGGTGCACCAGAGATTAATACAATTGAATCACTGCCTTTTCCTTAGTCAAAAGTACGCTTGATTATTCCAGATAGTGGGGCCTCGATTTACAATGGTAATCCGTTCCCAGAGACACATCGTAAGCCGAATCAATTTTTCCCATAAGAAATAAAGGGAATTTAATTAGTCCGTTCCCCACCCTCCAAAATATTAACATGCAAATGCATTTTATACTGAATACAATTTTTTTCTCAAACTACAAGGCAGTATATATGTTTATCTTAATTTTATGGAGGGCTCTCGATGGCGTATGGAAGATTGTGATGAGGTGGGAGGAGGAGAGGTGTTACTGTTTGGAAGGGGTGTCCCCTTCAATTATAACATCAGGCAGTGATGTTTTCTCTGGTGTAGACTCTCCTACGTTTTGCCTGCATACCACTAGGACCTGATTGTGGTTCACTGCTTGTTTGTCTCGCCAAAAATTTGTCAAAAGACACTTGTTTTTCCCTTCATTTTAACATTTGTCGGTAGTGATCTACCGACAAATTTTAAAACATCACAGTGTCATTGATAAGGTTAAGGCAACGGCCTACTGGAGCTTAATTTGGGTGAGTCGTTTCAGCAAAAGTTTGCAGTTCTTCCCATGCTGCACACATTTTCTTAATTTTCGAGGAAGGGACAATCAGTACTGCCTCCTCTTCCCCTGAAGAAATTTCCTCAGCTACCTCTTCTTGCTGCTCCTTTTGAAGGGCTTGGAGTTCTTCGGTGGTCAGTTCGTTGTGTTCCTCCACCAACTCCACATCAGCACCATCCAACTCAAAGCCCAATTGATGGCCCAGAGAAACAATTTCCTCAACAAGAGGCACTTCAGGTTCGGACTCAAACCCCTCAAAATCTCATTCTGCAACACATTCAGGCCACAATTTTCTCCAGCCAGAGATCATGGTTCTTGCGGTCACTTCTTGCCAGGCTTTGTCTACGAGTTTTAAAGCACTACAAATGTTAAAATGGTTTTTCCAGAACTCTTTGAGGGCGAGTTGTGTGGTATCCATCACTTCGACACATCTCCGAAAAAGTGCCCTTTCATAAAGTTTCTTAAAATTGGCAATGATTTTCTGGTCCATAGGCTGAAGTAGAGGAATGGTGTTGGGAGGCAGGAACTTTACTGTAACAAAACTAAATTCCTCCATCAATGAATTCTCCAAGCATGGAGGATGGGCAGGAGCACTGTCGAGGAGAAGCAGGGCCTTGAGTGGCAAACTGTTCTCCTGCAGATGTTTTTTGATGGCAGGGCACACCACCCCATTCACCAACTCGGTAAAAAATTGCCTAGTAACCCATGCCTTAACATTAGCCCTCCACATCACACACATTTGTAAGTTGGGGCACACCTCAGAAATTAGGTTAGCCTCGGTAGTAATAGGCATTTAGCAAGTAGATAAAAAGTGTCATGAGTATCGATGTCACCCCTCTTGTCTTCCATCCTCCTGAGGTCTGTGATTTTCTTATTGAGGATCTCCTCAATGGCGTTAGACCCAAGGGGGCTCCAAGGAGATTGCTGTTCACAGCCCTAATGACATGGGCTCCGGGCAAGACAGATCCTATTCCAGCTATGATGTCTGTGCTGGAGGAGACTACTTCACACTTGGAAGGGTTTATAAAGGAAGAGACCCAAGCTTACTTCTTGCTCCTTTATTTTTCTGATGTCTTCCAAGAGGTGGTCTAAGGGGGCCATCATCCAAAAATCAGATGTTGAACTCGCTGGCCAAGCTTTCGGTGATTTCTTTTAAGACTAAGCAGAAAAGAAGAGGAGCTAGAGGATCAACTTGCTAAACACCTTCATGTGATCTGATTTATTGTTTGCCAAAGAACAATTTTGATTCACCACTGTAGCAAGATAGATTGAACAAGTTGAGGGGCAAGAAATGGCGATGTACAGCACAGAGCATTGCATCTCTTCTGACCATGTTAAAGGCATTTTTAAAGTCCAGTTTGAGCAGGGTCTTTTCGTCAGAAATGTTGGTGATGTATGCTCGTGCTGCATGAGCAGCCATTTCACAGTCTTGGGGGGATTCCAAATCCCAGCTGAATTGGTTTCAGCAATTCAGCCATTTGTTGGCTGACAACCCTCGTGGCAGCCTTGGCAACTTGGTATCGGAGTGTGTTGCCAACAGCGATTGGCCTGATTCCCCCATCCTTCTTGGTGAGAGCACAAAGGGAGGCACCGAAAAAGAGGGGCCTGATGACCTCGGGTATATCACCAGCCAGGCACGCATTGACGAACCTTGTGAGTTCCATAAGAAGATCTTGTGCAGCATCACCAACTGCAGGATTTAAAATTTGCTTAATGGATTGCGGTTTTAATCCTGTAAAGCTGCCTGCTGACCCAGGTGGAAAAGAGCTGCTTTGTAGACCTCATATTGGTCAACAGTTAATGGGTCTGAACTGGTCTCGACTGGTGGCAATACGATGTTGTTGACTCGTGGGGCTCTGAGTGGGTGCTTTCTTTGCAGAACTCGTGCTGTGGCAAAGCTCCTAGGAGCAGTTATCTCGTCACTGGTGAGGACTCGAATAGCACTTGCGGGATTTCTCTTCAATTTTCTGGGTGATTTGTGCTTTGATTTTGTATGTTTCTGATGTGTTGTTGTTACTATGTATTTCTGTGATGGATGTGTTTGCTCGAGGAGGCAGGCAAACTAGGTTATCGCCACTTATGTATTCATTTATCGCCCTAATGATCGAGGATGCAAGTGATTTGTCCCTCGTTGGAGGGACGGTGAGGCATACATTGCCAAACAATAGGACATTATGCCTCATGTCCTTTTGTGGCCATTATGCATTATTATTTTCTATAATATATTTCTGTAAAGCTAAAATGCAAAATATGTTTACTTTTTCAGTTAAGGAGTACCAAAAATTCGAATGAAGATTGTCAAGTACAACGGATTACTAACGGTTAGTTTTATATATTCATGTGTCCTCCTCTTTGTCCTTTCTTGGTGCAGTGCTCTGTATTAGATGTGATATGTCAAAAAAGAAATTACAGAAGTACACATTAAGCCAGGGTCATTTATAAGAGTTTGAGTTAGGCCTTAACTATGGTATTGAAAGCAATTTAGTTTAATTACTCGTCTCTTTTCTGTAATTTTTACTTACATTCCTGGATTAGTTTGTTGGTAATTAATTTTTGTAAATAATCATACCCTGTACTGAGAGTTAACAAATGGAATGAACTGAAAAAAACTCATGGAAGACTTGACACAATTTCTAGAGCATATAAAGTAGGACTTAATTATTGAGAAAGTTAGAATACTAAGCTCACTCACTTGTTCTATATGGGCTAGACCCCTCACTAGATAAACCAGATATCCAGATAAGCACTTATTCTTAGCAGGAAAGTGCAAAAATTAACATTCACAATTTTTTGTACCACAACCAGCATAATTTGAATTTACACATACATTATAATTAAAAAATATACTGGTAAATAAAAAAAATATATACTGTAATTTAAAACAGAAACCTCAGCTTACCTTGTTGTAGTTTGTCTGCTTGACTGATACCTGTACAGTACTTGAAATGAAAATTTTTGTAACTTAACCTAACACTAAAATTACTGTTCAATACATGAGCTTGACAAGGTCAGTTTTGCTGGCCAGCTACTGAAGCATCACTAGTTGAAGGCTCTTGGCTTTCTGGTGAGCCTTCACTTTTCATTTTTACAATATTGTGCCTTGCTTTAATCTTGAATTCCGATCAATAATTGCCCTGAAATCCTGTATTCCATGGTTGTCTGTAAACCTACCGTGGTGCATTACTTATGCACCACGAATTTTCATGCCAACTATGCAGTGCTGTCAAAACCACTTATACACAGCCTCTTCCAACTGGACATTCTATGCAGGCTTCAAAGTTTTCTATTACACACTCTGCTAGTGCTTAAACCCTCACTCTCACTTTTTGCTATGTATTTCATGTACTGTATTCATCCTTGTTTCCTTGTATCAGAGACAGTACTAGTGCCTATGCCAAAATCCTTTGCAACACTCAACACTTTGCAACAGCCAACCGGCCATTTTCAGAGTTCAATGACATAACTTATCGTTAGTTTGTAGCACAACCTCCTTCCTCTTAACACCTTCAGGATGATTGCTGCTCTGTCCTACCAGATATGGTCTTAGCAAAAATGACCAAAGTTACTGTGAAAACAAAATTTTAGAAAATTTTTCACTAATGGCTCGTCGCTGTGTATAATACGAAGGTTGAGAGGACATGGCATGTGTAGGTTGACCGGACTTAGATGGGTCCACTTGGGGCAGACAGGCACCTTACATAGGCTACCAACCAGAAAAAAAAATCCTAAAATTTTTGCAGGAAACTACGGCCTTCAGTCTGTACACAATGCTTAATAAATTTGTAATTGTTATATTATTAGATAATATTTCTTTAGTTTTTACTGTAATGAATTGTTTTAATATAATTTTTGGTTATTCTGGACAATAATCATAGGCCCCTCCACATACCTCTCATCCCCCAGATGGTACATCCTGACTCTCCCCTACACCATCCACCCCAACACCTCCCATACCCAGTGCCTTGAAGCACTGTTGTATGGGAATAATACAGTATGGCCTGATGCCGTAATGGGTTACAGTATCTGGGAAAAATCTATGGTTTTCCGGAGTGCTGTCCGAATATGAAGTTTGCCAGAAAGTTATTTGGACTTGATAAATTTAGAATCTATGCTAGGCTGTGCTATCTGGCCAAATTTCCAGTTATCTGGATTTCTGTCTAGATACGGTGAAGTTTTGTTAGAAAAATATCCAGATGCGAATTTGGCCAGATAACTCGACTATCTGGTTCAGTGGGCTTTGGATAACCGAGTTCATACAGTATGTACTAGGTATAAAGGACTGTTATTTGTTAGTACCACCAGTACTACTATTAACTTTTTTTTCTTCCAGAGTGTTATATGGAAGCGCCATCATTATTGTCTGACCCACAAGAACTACCAATCAATATACGAATGTACCTTCATAAGACGTGGATGGGGAACCGATCAGCTTTTAACCTAACATTCCCTTCACCTACATGGACAAGTGAGCTAATGATTCATATTAATAATATGTATTAACCCCCCTGTCAGAAATACAGATGTAGACAATGGTGTAGCTCCAAAAATTTGTCATAACATCAGAAGATAATGAAGGTGTGAACATACTCATTGAAAATGCATCTCCTCCAGACAGTTAAGGTAAAATGGATAAACCCTCGGTGTGTGTCTAACAGGACAGAATTAAACAGCAACTAACAAAAATAATAGGAAAATGTTAATGGGAAAGATGGTTAAAAATACTGTATTGTGACATTTGACCTTTTACACTTGACTTTACACATTTACACTTGATAGTATTATGGGACACCCGACCCTTCACACTGCCTTCCACACTCAGCAGCATCACTGGACACCTAGGGCCAGATTCACGAAGCCGTTACACAAGCACTTACGAACCTGTACATCTTTTCTCAATCTTTGGTGGCTTTGTTTACAATTATTAAACAGTTAATGAACTCCTAAGCACCAGGAGGCTGTTTATAATAATAATAACAGTTGATTGGGAAGTTTTCATGCTTTTAAACTGTTTAATAAATGTAACCAAAGCCGTCAAAAATTGAGGACAGATGTACATGTTCGTAAGTATTTGTGTAACTGCTTCGTGAATTTGGCCCCTGGGCCCTTGAAGTGGACTAACAATGTAGACCATTTCACCTCAGGTGATTCTATGGTGGTACTAGTATACCGTGGTGCATTAACTGTGTGTTGGGAGTGATCTGATCCTTGATAGCCCTAGAATCTGTTGACTGAGTGCTGAGGGAATGAAATTTTTTTGTGTAAATTCAATGAATGATTGGTCTATATCAGTCCTTTAACCCCCTCAACTGCGCAACATGCCTGCAGGCCCTCGACGGGGAGTATATATATTTTTAGCGTTCTATTCAAAACTCCCGCGGCTACATGGGGGTCACATCAGCTTCCTCAGGGCTCTTGTAAACAGACACCATGTTTAAAAAAATTGTGGACCACATTCCCGGGTGTGAGAGCCTCAGTACTGAGTGAGCAACCAAGGTTGGCACACGCAGCATGAGCTCACAGCACTGCTGTTCAGCTTGTGACCATAGCATTGCCTAATAATGTCAAAATATATACATAACTTGTATTATTTAGCCATGATAATATTACAGAAGAGCCCGAGTGTGATAATGACTGTACAATGTTCAAATATCAGGGATTCAATGCTGTTCACGATGTTCACAGTACTAGTCACAGCACCACAGCATTATTTAGTCAATCTAGGAATCTCCAAACGACTTCATAGGTTCCTTTACAAAATAAACTTGTGGTCAATTATTCATTTACAGGAATTAGTGATCAGGATTGTTATAATAGCAGGATTGTGATGATAATTAGTGCTGTGAGTAGTATTGTGGGAGGAGGAATTTTGGTGCGGGAGGGAGGGAGAGAATCGAGGTAGCCTCACTGTGTGTGGCAGCCACTCTTGTTTTGCTCACCATACTAGCTTCATGGTTTGCTATGGTGAACACATGTGTATATAAGTATATACAATGTGTGTGTATATAGTGTAATAACAGCAACAGGAGTATGTTGGGAGGAACTATTTTGGTGAGGGAGGTGGCGGCGTAATCGTAGCGTCATCTGCTGTGTGATTTCTCGTGCAGTGTATGGTGGCCACTGTACTGTTTGGACACAATACTGGCTTACTTGCATAGTTCGGGTGAATAAAACATGTAGATAGGTATACATAACACGTGTATATAATGTAATCATCTCCGAGTGACTCTACTCCAAATTGTGGGTGTTGTCATCTCGGAGTGGGTTCGTTTGGGCGTGGTCGAAACTACCTCGTCCCTTTGGTGGGTTTCCCGCCAGTTTCCGGTTCCAAAACGGCACTGCACGGACCTCAGGTTTATTCTGGACTTGTCCCGTCTGAACCCATGGGTTTATTGCCACTTCTTTCGAATGACTACTCTGTTCCAGGTCCATCTTCTCTTGGAGCCGGGCGCTTGGATGGTGTCCCTGGACCTCAAGGACGCATATTGGCACATCCCGATTCATCCGGGGTTCAGGGACTTGCTTGGTTTTGTTGTGGGACGTCAGGGTTACTGCTTTTCTTGCCTTCCATTCAGTATGAATCTGGCACTTCGTGTTTTCACACGCCTTACCCGGGTAGTGGTGGCCCATCTGTCTCTTAGGGGTTCGGGTTCTGGCATACCTCAATGACTGGCTGGGGTGCTCCCAGCCGGTCCGTGTGTCTGCTCGCCAGGGATTTGGTTTTTTCTCAGCTCGCCGGGTTTGAGTTCCTGGTGAACTGAAGGAATTTCCATCTGGTTCCCTCTCAGGTTTGGTCTTGGCTGCATCTTGTGTGGTACCCTTGTACTGCTTCCTTATCTCTCCCTCCAGAAGCTCTGCTTCGGCTGCAGCCCAGCCTTCGCTTGTTTCTGGGGGTTCCCATGTCACATGGTAGTTGCTCGAGGGTTTTTTGTGGCAGCCTGAACTTTGCCATGATGGTCTTCCCGCCTGGTCAGGTTTGGCTTTGTCGGCTGTTCTGGTTCCTTCGGGAATGTCCCTTCCGCCTCTCTTGCGATCACTGGGTTCGGTCTCCGGGGTAGGGGGGCCTTGCGTCGGTTGCTGAGTCGCTAGCTTCCTCTTCGGGTTTTTTGGGATTAAATGCCTTGGCACCTACCCCAAGCCCTCACATGATGTGTTCACGGACACTTCATCTCTTGGCTGGGGCTTTGTGACCAGTGCTCACCAGGCTGGCCAAGGATGGTGGAGTCTGTCCTTCCATCAGGCTTACAGCATGGTGCGGGAGTTCGCTGCTGTGTGGATGTCGCTTCGAAGGGTTCGGGTCGCTCGGGGATCAACGATCCAACTCCATTCGGACTGCTCCCCGGTGGTTCGTTGCCTGAACCGCTGGGGCTCGATGCAGTCCTTGGCTCTTTGGGGCTGGTCGCTTCAGGTGACTTGTTTGCTGAGTTCTCGGGGTTTGGCTCTCCTGGCCAGGCCAATCCATTACATGGCTGGTTCGATCTTCTCAAGTGTTCGCGTCTGGTCTTACTGACGCAGGTCTATCACCACTTGTATAATGAGCAGGTGGCTTTGTTGATGGTGTCCCACCTGCATGCTTCGTCTCAGTGGCAGTATGACGTTTCCTGGCGGTACTTCAATTATTTCTTGTCCCTTCGTAGGTTTACTTCTCTCTCTGATTGGATAGTCTTCTCCTTTCTTTCATGGTTGTTCCAGGACCGTCATCTTGTGCCGAATTCTGTCGCCTCATATCGTATGGCGCTGGTATAACCACTGCAACTTGCGTTCTGCAATGATGTTACTTCTGCGCCAGTCCACAAGCTGTCTCGTACGTTGTTTCGACTCCGGCTTGCTCATGTGTCGTCTGAATCGCCCTGGTCATTGGACTGGGTGCTCTTTCTTCTCTCTTTTCCTCGGTTTGTGGTGGCCCGTTCGGTTCAGGATTGTTTGGCAAAAGCTCTTTTCTTGTTGGCATTGGCCTCTAGGAGTCAGGTCAGGGAGCTTCATGCTCTCCTCCAGCGCAGAGATTTCAGCTCTTTTGGTCCTGGTGGTAGGTTTGTTCGTTTGCAACCATCTCCTTTCCTGGCGATGAATGAGACCATTGCTTTCCAGAGGGGTTCTTGGGTTGTTGATGCTTGGTTGGTCAGGCCGGGAATGCATCATGTGTTGTCTGGTTGTGGCTCTCCACCGTTACCTGTGCGCCACGGCCTTGGTAGCCGGGGGACACGCTTTGGGTTGACCTGGTTTCCCTTCTTCCCTGTTACAGCGTTTGGGTCTCCTAGGTCGTCCGCAGAGTTATTTGGTTCAGCCAGCCTGCAGTCTATCCTTGTTCCCACGATGTTAGTAAGTTTGCTGCACTGGCTGTCGTCTTCGGTAACATGTCTTCGGTTGACATTCTGGCACGGAGTTTTTGGAGGTCGAACAGGATCCTGGCCGCTCGCTACCTGTTCACCGTTCCTGGGCTTAGTCGAGCCTGTGTCTCATTGGGTCGGCGGTTGCAGCCAGTTGTCTTGACTTTGCGTTGAGGAGCGAGGGCCGACCGCGTCCCGGGTAAGTCCCTCTTGTTTTTGTCTTTGGGTAAGTAGCTCTGGGAGGCCGAAGGGGCTCCCCCAAGAAAACCAGCATTGAATGTAATGAAACAGCATTTTCTGGGTAAGACCCAGAGGCCCCCCAGCAACCCTCCCTCCGGTTGGCATTTTTTTCGTATGTTTTGACATCCAGCCTCAGAACTGCAGGGTGGATAGCCAGCATGGGGAGTCTGGAGCTCCCCTTCCCGGGTAGGGGGGTTCTGTGCAGACAGCGGGGCTGTGACATGGTGACTTCATGCTCCTTTGCTCATTTGCTCGTTTTCATTTCGGGGAATTCTATCCACTAGTTAAGCATTCAGTAGCAATATTTTCACCAGAATAGGAGTTTGTTTTGGGGCGCTTACTTTTCTAGGTGCCTGACTCGATCGATGGCAAACATAGAATGCTTCCAACCACACTGGAGTTTCAATAGGCCATTGCTCCTTGTGTCTCTAAGGGGGGGCCATGTTCTGGCTCGTGGTCCCCGGAAGTCTAGAACTCTATGCACAGTGACTGATGCAAGGGTTTAATACATTCATATCAGCCCGGATAGCTCCTGAGAGCCTCTGGGTCTCGCCTTGAAAATAGCATTCTTTACATTCAACACTGGTTAAAACTATTGTAGTTGATAATGATACCTTGTCCCAGACTTTGCTGCAAAATTTGTAAAAAACTCTGGTTACACTCAATTATATTGTACTGTACTCTGATTTTGGACGTAATTATTGTAAAATTTGAATGGAGGTGCAGTTCCTGCTCATCCATTACCAGTTACTAGTAACTTAAGAGTGGTTAAGTAGCCTTAGAGTGGCTACTGCTATGTCTATTGTAGGTTTGTTAGAAACCAAATGATTTATGTACAGTTTTAGGAAGACTTTTTTAGCTAAACTCTATTCGGTGTTTATATTTCAGGTCTCAAGTTTCGGTATCAGGTCTCAGATAACAAGAATGAGACACTTTGCCGTCATTTCCGTCTCTTTAATGTGAGCTTTCCAATGAGTGATGACCTCATGTGGGACTGTGTTGTCTTTGATGGAAATAAAGAACGAAACTTTACATTAACTGTAATCACCAGCGAAGGAAAAGGTGGAACATATCTTTTTAAAGCTCCAGAAAGTAAAGGGATTGGTAAGTTATTTTGTTTTTGTTTCACTTGGTGTTCTTTGTTAAAATATAATTGTAATTCCATACTTTTACTGTATGTAATTCACATGGCAGTGCTATACATGCAGGCACCATCTCAAAGTTTAATTGCCATTTATTTGAACACGCAAAATATTTGTGTGATGTTTAACAAGCCTCCTCCTCCTCTCAGTAGCTAAGAGGCTGTGCTTCTCCAGCCAGCCATCCAAAATGCCTTCAACCATATTTAGCTCTTGTCATTTTCATGGACACTGACAAGACTTAAAAATACAAGAAATTTGCCAATAAAGATTTCTTCTAGCAGCATACAAGAGGAAAGATTGTGATGAATTTTGAGCAGAAATTAGAGTTAATTCTAAGTCTGTAGCCCTGACACCACACACCATCCTGGAAGCTCACCATTAGAGGGTTGTCACAGCAGAAGGTTCTCCAGTAGACTTACTACCACACAAATCTTTCACTCTATCAAGCTCTAACTCCCTTTCCACATTCTTTCATGTATTGTTCCATTCTCCCAACTTTCAAAATACTGTACTGGTCATCAACCATGTGATCCATTTATATCATCCCTGTGCACTCTTCTCATTAAATCTGGTTGGCAGGCTCCGTGGCACAGTAAGACTATTGCCCTGCGCTTCGTGAGCAATTTGGCCTGGGTTCACATCCTGGCCGGAGGAGGATCGACTAAACGCCAATCCTTAACTGTACATACAAGAGAGAGAGAGGGGGGGTGGGGGGGTAGGTAAGTCCTCACCATCAACGAAATCACCTGACGAACAGAAAGGGGGAGACCCGAGGCAGAGCCGAACCAGCTCCGCCTCTTCTCGGCTTGCCACAATGAGCCGAGAAGTCGCAGAGCCGCGGGAAGATCTCGGGTGCAACCACCGAGCAGGAAGAGCCAGAAAACCGAGTCAGCAAAGGAGGAGATGGAACATCTGCTGGACAAAACGTCCCAACACCAGCGAGCTTGCCAGGAGGTCCGAGACCACAGCCCCAACTGAGTCTCTATGAAAGGGATCCCGCGAGACACAGAAAAGCCAACAGGCAGGGAAAGCCAGGAACCAGAAAACCAAACCTGGCAAACCTGGGCTCTGTCGTCTCTCCACTTGGCGCTGTGTGGGGGGTTGGCCTCCAGCTCATCCCTTCCTCCTGCTTTCCATTTGCCTCCTTCTCCTGACACTAGGCCTTTGTGGTCTCTCCTGCTCCTTGGGCATCCGTTCTTCTTGTGTCCTCTGGGACGTCTTTATCTACCCCCTGCTTCCTCTTAGGGGTCTTGCTTGTGGTGGTGTTGTCCCCTCTGGTTCTTCTGTCTCCGTGTCGTGCAGCTTCCTTCCCGTCGTCTGCTTGATGGGATTTTGGGAGTAGTTCTCCCAAAACTAGGCTTGGCTTGTCGGGGTTGGTCCACCGGGCTATTGCTTGAAGCGGCCTGTGGACCCACATTCCCACCACAGCTCGGTTGGTCCGGCACTCCTTGGAGACGGCTTTCTAGTTTTCTCTTGATGTCCAGGGTTGCATCGGCAGTAGTTGCTGTGCTTTTTGGCTCCGATTGCCAGGTTTGGTTTTCTGGTTCCTGGCTTTCCCAAGCCTGTTGGCTTTTCTGCGTCTCGCGGGATCCCTTTCATAGACTCACTTGTGGCCGTGGTCTTGGACCTCCTGGCGAGCTCGCTGGTGCTGGGACGTTTTGTCCGGCAGATGTTCCACCTCCTCTTTTGCTGGCTCGGTTTTCCGGCTCTTCCTGCTCGGTGGTCGCACCCGAGATCTTCCCGCGGCTCCGCCTTGGGTCTCTCCCTTTCTGTTCGTCAGGTGACTTCGTTGATGGTGAGGACTTACCTACCCCCCCCCCCCTCTCTCTCTCTCTCTTGTATTTAAAGATTTTGTATAATATTATTTGCACCTCCAAGGGATATCTGACCAACCAGGCTGTGATTCATACAACAGACTACGAGAAGCCGCATCCAACAACCTGTTAACCAGTCCAGCAACCAGGAGGCAGGGTTAAGGACCGAGCCGCGGGGACGTTAAGCCCTGAAATAATCACAAAATATGCATTATGAAACATTTCTGGGTTAGGAATGAGGATGTTGTAGTGCTTGCAATCAACTGTGTTAAAACATGTTTAATTCTGAACTTTGATACTATATCAGGAATATGAAGATTAATATAGTAATTGATGTATTTACAGACCCTATAGAAACGACTCTTGAGGACTGGAATGTGTTTTTCTTTCTTCACGTGGATCATGTGGGGAGATCACCATTTCTGCCTGTAACTATGCAGGTAGCACCATTCAAGAATGTAACCTACAATATATCCCTTGTCAAGTGTGCGGATGACGACCACCATTGTTCAAAGTGGACCAGCCTCTCTTCCATCTTGGTTAATGACTCTGAAAAGTACGAGTGAATACGGTATATTTATTGCAAATTTTTTTTTTAATTTACTTTGTTGAAACTATATAATAGATTAGTTCTGTGTTCTGATGTAACAAGTTAATTGAAACCAGCCCCATCCAACATTCTGTTGTATACAATGTTAGCATCAACAACAATTATAGTGTTGCTTTTCTGGGAAAAGCCCTTTGAGTCTCCCTGAAGCTATCCCACTAAGATGGCTTCCAACTAGTACATTGCATCAGCCATTCAGCCTACCAGGGACCAGAGTCAGAACCTAACCATCCCTTAGAGAGGTGCAGAGAGCAGGTGACACTGTCATCTCACTGGTTGAAGTACTGTACTCAGAAAGCCAGAGAACCAAAACAAACCACTGCTGGGTTTGAGAGAGAGACTGATGCCTCGCAACCCACCAAATGAACTCCCACAACAACGTAAGCAAATGATCGAACCTCGGCACAAGCATGCTCTCGTTCTCCCCACCCCCATCCCACTTGTTTGGAGGAGTAGACTTCTAGCAAACCAAGCGTGATGGGAGGGAAGAGGAGTGGTGGCCAGAGCCAAGGTCAAGGAGACCAAGACCAGGCGCCAGGTTCATGAAGCAGTTACTCAAGCACTTACGAACCTGTACATTTTTTTTTAAATCTGACGGCTTTGTTTACAATTATTAAATAGTTAATGAGCTCTGAAGCACCAGGAGGCTGTTTATAACAATAACAACAGTTGATTAGGAAGTTTTCATGCTTGTAAACTGTTTAATAAATGTAGCCAAAGCCGTCAAAGATTGAGGAAAGATGTACATGTTCGAAAGTACTTGCATAACTGCTAGTACAGGGCAGGGGCGAGGACCCTGCCCCAGGACCCAAAAAGTTAACTGAAGTGGCTCCAGGGCTTCCAGATGGCCACACAATTTAGCCCTAAGTGTGTTAAACTCCTGGCCCACAATGCACAAAAGTGCAAGCAACAGCCACCAAGACAAAGGAAACCCCAAGAAAGACACTGGGGCAGAGAAATTGTGGAAGACCTGGCACACATCAGAAGAGAACTGAGGATGGAGTAGCCTGTGAGCTGTGCCTGCCCCTCCTTTTCCCAAACAAGGGAGAGGGTGGGGAGAATGAGTGGGCACTGGCTTGTAACATTTTTGATTGTTTACATGGTTAGAAAAGTTTTATGGCCTGTTTCAAGCCTTCAGGTTTTGGAGGCAGTCAGATGTGGTTTGTTTTGACTTGCTGAATTTTAGGTGCCTTCCTCAGTGGTGGCATAAATGAATAAATAAATATATAAATGCCACAGCTCCCTTTGCTTCTCTAAGGGGACCAGTTTCTGGCTCTGGGTCCCTGGTAAGCCAAGAACTCTGCAACTGATGGCACCTAGTAGTTGGTACCTACATTGGAGATGGTAGCTTCAGGGAGCCACCAGGGTTCCCCAGAAATTTGTGTTCCATTACATTCAATACTTGCTTCTGTGGGGAGCCTTGTCGGCTCCCTGAATCTAACTGAACTGGTATGTGCTATATTAGTTCACGTCACAGGAGTCCTTATGCCTACCGGGAATCAAGAGCCAGAACCTAGTCCCCTCAGAGAGGCGCAGGGAGCAATGGCCTATGAACACTTTACATTTAAAGTCATAATTGCCATCGACCAGGAAAGAACCCAGAAAGGTAGGTAGAAGAATCAAAACAGACCACTGACTGGTTGACACTTTCGCGCTCACTGCGTTCTGAAAAAAACTTACCCTATGTGATATCGGCATTTCGCGCGCCTATGCAGTAAGACCGAAAAGTGTATACTTTTTTTATTGTCCTGACACTAATTGTAGGCGTACGTATTTAGATTTGGTATCACTGTGTTCGCAATAGAATTGTCTATAAGAACATACCTATAAAATGCCGCCAAAGCATAAGGTATATCAACACCAAATAAAAACCTATTCAGATCACTTGCCGAGAGCGCCAAACGGCAACAAAATGTTCCCACTCTCTTAACCCTCAAACCGCGCATATCATATATAAATGATATCAGTGACAAAACTGAAACCGCGCACATCATTTATATATGATTTCGTGTCTAGCGCTATAATTTAAACGCCCCGCCTGGGATAGGGGCAGCTATAGTACAGCCACGACCGATAGTTGCCAGATGCCACCTAGAAAAAAAATCCAGGCCAACATTCTTGGGTGTTACAGCAACAGTATTGAGCAAGCCACCAAGGCTGGCGCACGCAGCACGAGCTCACAGCACCGCTGTTCAGCTTGTGACCACAGCATCGCCTACAAATACCATAATATAAATGATACTGCTATTATTTAGCAGTGATAGTATTACTGAAGCCCCCTGACTGTGATAAAACTGACCAGGATTCTGATAATAGCAGGATTGTGGTGATATTTAGCGCTGTGCTCCATGGAGGGAGGAGTAAGGCTGTGGGAGGGAGGGTTGTGGCATAGTTTTCTGACTGTGTGTGGCCACCATTTATTGACTGCACTCACCATACCAGCTTAGTGGTTCGATATGGTGAACACAAATGTAGATACTTATATATAATGTGTGTATAGTGTGAGATAACAGCGAGAGGAGTAGGTTGGGAGCCACCATTTTGGTGAGGGAGGAGCGTCGTCTGCATGACTTGGCATGTTGTTTACTGATGGCCACTATGATCTTTGGGCACCATACCAGCTTATTTGTTCAGGTATGGTGAATAAAACAGGTAGATACTTATATATAATGCATGTATATAGCGTAATAACACCACAAACAATATTGTTGGAGGACAAATATTAGTGCGTCTGGCCTTGAAGGCGGCCGCCGATCAGCTGACTGTATGAGTAGCTACGTCTTATGGCCTTTACTCACCATACAAGCTTAGATGTACAGTTATGGTGAACAAAACATGTAAATACGTATATATAACGTCTGTGTATAGTGAATAAATACAGAAAGAGTATTGTGGGAGGTGAATGAGGGTGAGTGAGGTGGTGTTGAGGGAGGGAGTGGCAGTGAGTGGCTCGCTGGTGTTTGGCGATCATTCCTCGTTGCTTTTTGACTCACAAGACCAACTTAGTAGTTCGTTATGGTGTACAAAACATGCAAATACTTATATATAACCTGTGTATATAGTGTAACAACAGCAAAACTATTTGTTTATTGTTTTATGAACATAATAATTGAATCACTAATATGCACACCATAATTTTGAGTACAGCGATGGTTCACACATTTTATAATATAAATATACCACAATTCACTGTATGGAATAATATTACTGCAAAAAAGCTAAGAAAAAATCAGACATTGAAATAATTAGGTAATAATATATTTGTGGCAACTGCCGTCTGACAGCTCGGGCGGAGTAGACCTCGTCTGGCGAAGGCTCTGCCAACGCCCCTTTTTTGCCACACTTCCCTACCCTATTGTGGCTAAAATATGCCACCTACGATTTTTTTTTTATTTTTTCCGTGATCAGGGAACAAAAATGAACACTTCTATAAGACGAAAGAATTTTTTGGATTTTTTTTTTTTTGTTGCGCCTGTGGGTGTGAATTCCATTTGGGCCCCTAGCGGTTTGAGGGTTAATAGTTGTGAAGCCCACAGTTGTGCTACAGCGTTAATTTTGGTATCACTGAAATCGCAATAAAATTCTCTACACGGACATATGCATATAAATATAGATTCAATGTCGTAGCCCACTCAAAACAGTGTGGGAAGTGGCTGAAGTGTTACCCGCGGCGGCATATCGGCGAAACTCACTTTGAAAAGTGTATATTCAATTCACTGTCCTGACATTATTTTTCGATGTATGTATTTCATTTTTGTTCCAATGTGTTCGCAATAGAATGTTCTATAAGAACATAAGTATTAAAGGTCACATAAGGATGCGTTCGACCGGCAACATACTGTATATAAAAACTACGTCGATTATACTCGTGGTGTCAATAATACAATTGTTTTACCACGATGATTCACTGCCACGCCGTTCTCTTTAATAAGCTGTTCGGCTATTAGAGAAAAAGTAAATTTCATGGCAAACCTTTGTAAACTATCCCCAAGTTGATTGGATAATAAATGGATTTTATACAAATATTTTTTGTCGTGACGACCTGAGTGGGCAACGGCGCGTAACCGTAAGAACAATAGCTGACGACCACGGTCATCACTGATGCTCGAAAGTGTTAACCTGTGCAATCCACATTCATTCTAAAAGATCAAAATTGCTTCCCAAGAAAGAAACTAACACTTCATGCAACTAGCACTCCCACTAGTTAGTGGAGAGCTGCAGCCCGCCACTCCAGTTCTTGAAATGGAGTAAGATCGGTCTCCTGTGGCCTCAAGTTCCTGTTCTGGGTTTTGCCCTGTGTGGCTGTACTAGCAGCTACACCACCTGTGTGGCTGTGGGTGGAGGCAAGGTTTTATTGTACACTGTGCAGCATGCTCCTAGGGGTGATCTTCCCTAGGTGCTCCATACGCACTACCCTTGCATTTCAAGGTTATCTTTCTTGGGGCATTCGGGACTCGCTCCCTGTTAAAGGGCTAAATCGCTCGAGTTAGTCTTTGTCCTTGAGATATGTCAGGGGTCTACGGCTTTCCGTCTTACCCCGGGTGGGGGTGTGTTATTAGCTCGGTGGAGCTCACTGTGGCTGGCCCAGCTAGCTTTACTACAATGCCTCTCTCTTGCTGCCAGTTTATTGTGTTTCTTCGGGGGCTTTTAGTTTCCTGTTTCTGTGTTTTTGCTTTGTGTGGACAGTGGAGGTCTGCCTAGCCTCTTGTTAGGCTAACCTAAATGATGTTGGTAGTCCTCCGTTGCCCTCCCCCCCCTCCACAAGGTTTCACTGCTGCTATTGGTAGTCAGTTTCCCTGCTCTGTACTAGAGAAGGATTCTACTGGCTTAGCTGGTCCCAGTGCCTGGGCTTTCGTAGGGTTAATTTACTCTACAGGCCCTGGAAAACCCCTGTAGGCTCGGTGGTACCATGGATACAGTACTTTTTCCAAGTGAACTCTCGCCGTGTGCTAAGTTGAAGGTTGCTTGTTGTCCCTGCCTCAGGATGACATTCATCCGTACTGCCTCCCTCGTGCTGCCTGTTGGGTCGGGAGCAACTACGACCAGGAGTCTTGCAGGACTTGTTCCCTTCTTGTACTCAATTTACTCATTCCTTGTCTGTTGTCCTCAGGAATCGAGCGGTGGCTGCAGTGCATGCTCAATTCTCTTTCTTTGCAACAGGCCAGGTTGGTTGCCCGATTGGAGGCCCCGGAGCTGCCCCGCTTGAGTTTTAGGAATTGGGATTTGGAGGCATTGGTCCCTTAGACCATGGTTACGTCCGTACCCCCTACTTTCTTCCCAGGTGGGCATGGTTCACCCCTGCTCCTTCCCTGCTTCTGGCTCCTAAACATCTGAGGGTTTCCGAGTCGGTGTGGGGTTTAACTCGGGATGAGGCTCGGGTGGCTCCAGGAGCTGTCCCTTCTGATTCGGGTGCGGAGATGGTTGAGCCCGATTTTCCCCAAGGCATCTGGGTCGGCCCATGACTCCCTTCTCGGAAGCTTTTCCCTGGATTCTGTCTTTTCTTCAGGGGTGTGGTGGGCATGGAAGAGGGCTCTGCCCCAGAACCTGTGTCCGGGGTTCCCGGGGCTCGGGAGGGAGTTCACTTGGAGAGCTTGAGCTCTGTTGACCTGGCTTTGGCTCCTGTTGACCCAGCTTGGGCCCCTTGTGCATTCTGGGCAGGGATTGTTGCTGCAAGGCGAGGTGTTTTTGTACCTTCCTTCCCTGTATGAATTTGAGTTGTGTACTGGTTCTTTCCAACCCCTAAAGACTAAACTTCTAACTAAAACTAAACTTACCTAGACTAAAGAGCCTAAACCTGTATTCTCTTGAGTGCAGGCGGGAGAGATACATAATAATATACACATGGAAAATAGTAGAGGGGCTGGTCTCAAACCTGCACACAGAAATAACAGCACATGAGACCAGAAGGCATGGCAAGATGTACAGAATACCCCCGTTGAAGAGCAGAGGTGCAACAGGTACTCTGAGAGAGAACTATCAACATCCAAGGCCCGAGACTGTTCAACACGCTTCTGCTACACATAAGGGGCATAACTGGCTGACCCCTCACAGTGTTCAAGAGAACTTGACAAACATCTCCAAAGGATACCTGATTAACCAGGCTGTAACTCATACGTCAGACTGCGAGCAGCCGCGTCCAACAGCCTGGTTGACCAATCCAGCAACGAGGAGGCCTGGTCGACGACCGGGCCGCGGGGTCACTGAGCCCCGGAATCACCTCAAGGTAACCTCAAGGTAAGGTAACCCCGGGTTCGTTTCTGGGTGCCCTTGGGTTCCTTGGATTCGTCCTTCCAGAGGTTATCTTTCTTTCGGATTTCCCCTGGGGAGGTTCAGGAAGCCCTTGGCGCATACTTCCTGCAAGACCCAGCTTACACCTCTGTGATAGATCTGGCTTTCTTTGAGTTCAGTTCTTGCACGTATTGGGTGCGTTACGAGGTTTCAGAGTCTTCCTGACTGGCAGACCGTTCCTTTTTCTCTCTTGGAGGGGGGGAAGTGCAGAATGAACTAATGCAGGGGAAGGACCAAGGTGCATGGGCGAAACCAAAGTTGAGGCGACTAATGCCCCCAAGTCCAGGTCCCTGTAACCAAAGTGGGGCATCTGGAAAGGCAACCAACCTAGCTTGATGCAAGAACCTAAACCTTGCATGCAATGCTGAAACTGCCTGCATCCGAATATCAATAGCAGTGGACTGAGTGAACTGGTATACAAGTAAGGAACACCACTCTTAGGACTCCGGATCAAGGTGTCATTGACCCAACAGGCAGCATGGTGGAAGCAAAAACAGCGAGTGTCACCCTGAGACAAAGGAACAAAGCAACCTTCAAATGCACAGAAAGCGAGATGGGACTTGGAGAATGCATCCATTGGACCAATGAGCCCCAATGGGGGTTTCCATAGCCCCTTAGGCTGATTAAGGGAAGCCCAGGCAAGGTACTGCTAACCGGTTATCTCAGAACTACCAAATAAACAAAATGCTGAATCCCTGCAACGTGTGCAATCACAGGGACCTAGCGGAGATCCACCCAAATTATAAAAGTGGTCCTACAGCCACACCAGGCAACACAAAATAAAAGAAAATGAACACCCCCACAAAAGCACAATGTCTCCAGGAGGAACAGAACTGGCTGCTATGTGGATTATAAGACAACTAGCTGCATAGTACCTTGTGCCCCTGCTAGCAACAATACTACCTCCTACCCAAGACCAAACAGTGGTAGGAAAAACCCCAGCTGACCCCAAAGTTGGGCAATTCTGCGGAGATAGTCCCCGAACAGTTTGTGGAAGGTAACCCAGAACTGCAAGGGCAGTACTTACAGGGCACCTAGGGAAGGTGACCCTAGGGGCATGCAGCCCCAGTACTTCAGGAAATACACCTGGCTTGCACACCACCACACCGCAGGACAACACTACAAGGCACAGCACTGCTCAAGGATTGGAGCCAGAGTCGATCGACCGCCACCCAACACAACAGCCTCGGAACTGGGGTTGGGTAGCCGGCACAGGAGGTCTGGGGCTTCCCCTTCCTCCTCCCGGGGAGGGGGGAGCTGCGTAGACAGCGGTGTGGCACATGTGATGACATCATGCCTGTTTGCTTGTTTTCTAATTGGGGAGTTCTGCCGGCTCATTCGGCTTTCGGTTTGCAATTTTTAACCACCTGTAGTTTGTTTTCGGATTCCTACCTTTCTGGGTGCCTGATCTGGTAGATGGCAGACATAGACTGCTCCAACTACATGGGGTATCTATAGGCTCTGGCTCGTGGTCGGCTTGCATTGGGTAGGCTAAAAACTCCATTGATTGACTGTTGCCATGGTCTAATATGTACACCCTGTCCCCAGAGGACAAACCCAATAAGATTTCAACTTGGATTCAAACAGAGCAGAAGACGTTAAACACATGGGGCAAAATCTTAGTGAAGCGACTATACGAGTCATAAATATTCATACTCCGCCCAAGTAAAACAGAAAGAAGCAACACTTAGTGGGCCAGCCAGAGGCTTAGGGCCCATGCAGGAATATCCCTGAAAAAAAAAAAAAAACGTTTATATACTGTAATCTCATTTTTTACTCATTTTGTATAATACAGTATATCTATTAACTTTTGTACTTATTTATGTTTATAATATTTGTTGTATTTACAGTTAATCTTCATTTTGTAGTTCATTGTTATGTGAGGATGGCCAGTGCACAGTGTCTCTGCCAGTATGGGGCAACGCTGGCAAGTATGCCGTTACTGCACAGATTGTCTCCTCGGACTGTCCTAGCAGTGGCTGCTTCATTGCAATTTCTCCAACATACGGTAAGTTTTGTCTGATCTAATATTTTTGGTTATTTCTTAGTAAAGAGTGTGATCTTTAAACCTTCTTGGTATCAATTATGAACTTTTGGTTATACTTGAGTAACACACGCGTACTGCAGTGTATATCCATGTAGGCTAATGGTTTCCTTGAATCATTGGCCTACACGGGTCCTCAGACATATTCTGCCTGCTAGGCTTTAAAGGTCTGTTCACTCACCATGAAAAGCAGCATTCTCATTACAGCGTGAACTTGCTCAAACAAAAGATGTGATAAAGCTGATTCATTGCATCGGAGATTTCATTCAAGTCGTTAGTTCCCTGTCGGTACCCCCAGCCAAATTTTTTTATTTGTCTATACTGTATTTTTTTTGAAGGCTCCACAGTCTCTTGATTACATATACAGATTTGTTACTTACCAATATGATAGTGTAGTGAAATATTTTCATGATAATCCTGAAGTACATTTAGCTAGTACAAATTCATAATAACTTTGTCCAACATTGAATTAAACAAAAATTATTTCAACAATTCATTGTTAAGCTTAGAAGTATGACAATTATTTGTTGAGCACACTCAACATAATGATCAAGATCTGCACACCAAAAGTATGCCAGTCTATTTAAAAATATTGTAATAATAATATAGACATTTATTTTGACTGTTGCATACAGTAAAGTGATCATTGGCAAACAGTGCAGTCAAAATTGTATACACTGATATATAATAATTTTAGGGGCCCAAAATTATAATGTGATTATAAAAAATTATTTCACCAAGCATGAGGAGGCTGAGATGGAGCAAGATGTGTGTGGAAGTGGCAGCTTGGCTGGCTGGCAGGCGGGAGTGGGGGTGGGCAGGTGGTCTGGCTAGCTAGTGGGCAGACAGGGTGGGTAGGAGGACTGGTGGCTGCCTGGTAGGCTGGCCAGCAGAGGGTAGTTGGATTGGTGGCTGACTGGTGGGTGGATGGACAGAGTGGGCGGGCTTTCGGGGATGGCTGGCAGGCGGGGTGGGTAGGTGGCTGATGGGCAGGCAGGCAGGGTTAGCAGGTGGATGGATGGATTGGTGGCTGGCTAGCAGGTGGGCAGTTTAGATTGGTGACCGACTGGCGGGCAGGCTGGGTTGGTGTGCTTTTGGGGAGGCGAACACACAAATGTTGTTAGCCTCTTATTTAACTTACAGTATTTAGAAGTATTAAGTATCATTAGTGACCTATCGCAGAATTAACACTACAAATCTATGGTATATAAATTCGCAAAGGCGTAGCTGTAATTTGGCTGGTTTTAATTTAAGCGCTGTCACTTCGCAAAATTGGTGGGTGACCTTGAAGCCGCTGTGAGGCTCCAGGAACAGCTAAGGCTCGTGAACTTCCTAAGAGGCTACGCTGCTGGTCTGTGACTGGCAATATGATTATGTTTATATGCTGTTTATTAAATTATTGCACTAGTTTATTTAAGTTGATGGACCAGTGTAGTATTTCTGGTTTATCCGGTTCATTAAGGACCACTTATGTGGGGAATTGACTTGAGATTTATATTTATTTAATTTATATTTATTTCAATAGCAAACTATTTGATGTTTAAAGTGGACTGTATTTCTTAAAATGTCTCACAAATCACTTCCTTAGACATTCTAGGGGGTTTATGGTTTATATGTAGTCAACAATATAAATTATTGATTAGTAGACATTCATTACAGTATTAGACTACATATGTTGTTAACTAAAATGAGAGACCTTATCTTATTGTTATATCCTAGACAACCAGTATGAACATGAATGAACAAGCCAGTTGATCCACTTTCTGGGTGTGGCTGGCCTCCAACTTATATACTGGAGTGCTAGGTTACTAGTGTTAATTCTTATTCCTCTTCAGTTCCACCTGTCAAAGGGCACTCACAAATAATAGCAGTAATCCTAATATGACAGCTATATCAGAGGAAATATTGGGGGTATTGATTGAGATAATGACCCAGGAATATTTACCTTGGTTTTGTCGTTGTATCGTGTCCTAACTGGAAAATATTCTAGATCTAAATATTAAAGGCCTCTAATAAGCTAGATAATATAGGAATTGGAAATGACACCTCTCTTGATAGTAGACGTAGTTGCATGTTGATAATGGAAGCACTAACGCAGCTGTCCAAGGGAGAATTATCGGAGCAAGATTTGCTCCAGTGACTTCTTGTTAAAATTAATGGCCGACTTCCCCACTTCCCCTTTTCCACTGGTGCCCTGACTCTCTTGTCCAGATGTCAAAAGTGGTTAGAGGGCCTATATTTACTCAATTTTGGTACTGATAATTAAGTTAGTTCAAGTGAAATGTTTTTATGATGTTTACAGTCCAAAGACTGCCATATTAAGAATTGTTTCCCATTAATATAGCTGGTGAATCTAATAGTGACATGTGGCAATATCTCATTTTCTATGGGGAGGATATTTCCACTGTGTCACATCTTTTATGAGTTAATTTGTAATACAAAACAGCAGCTATTATCTGCCTATTAAATGTGTGTAAATGGTGTTGGGTTTTCCAACAGTGTCTGTATGGTTTTTGCCATTTCTGCTACCTGTGCTTTCAAGGTTGCTAACTTTCCTTCAAATGTTGTCTAGGCCTGTTGTGTGTTTTCAGGGGCATTGATGGTACTGTCACCACTATGGGATGGGTCAACAGTACTAGATCTGGCATCAGTATGCGCTTGTTGAGTCTCGGGCACTTGCCTCCTTGTGTCAAGGGAGGTTGGTCGTTTGGTAGAGTCTGGATGCCAAAAAGGTTACTCCTTCTTTACCACATCTGAAACACTTCAGTGTCAAGTTTAGTTGGAGGCACAGTTTCAGGTTGTTGCCCTGCTTTTGTTACCATGCTCTGGTGTTCCTGGTCCAGATTTATTTGGTCTTTAGTCTTCTTAAATTGACAGTCCTTCGGTGCATTAGGACTGGAACAGAGAGCACACTTGGGGGTGTGCACCAGCAGTGCTTGGCTATGTGGCACTGCCACAGCACCCATAACACTCCACGGGGTCTGGCTGCCACACCCTGAAACTGCTGGGGAGCGCATATGACCTGGCAAAATAATACTGGTCGGGTGGTGGTTCAGACTTGTTCCAGACTGACTATTTTATTGGTAGGTTCACCAGTCTTAAACATTCTCCCTGCTCTGTATATTCCACTTTATAATTCATAGACCCAGTCTAGTGGATACTCCTTATGGTAGCTGTAGACTAGGTATTCCTTCATCTTCTTGTTTCGTGATAGATGATCTTGAAGGGAGAGCTTTACACCACCTATTGTCCCTTGCAGAAGATCATCCACAACATGCTGATCCTTTCTTGAAACGTACACATATGGGGAGTTGACATGTGGACGTAGCAGGTCTACAGAGCCAGGTGGGTACCTATGGCTCAGCTGCTTGCTCCAAATAATCTTGTCAGCTACAGTCGTGCCTTTAGGGAAGGCCAAATGCATGTGTTATGATTCAGTTATATTGAGTAAATAACTGAGTCATAACTTATTTTAAGTATATAAATGAATAAATATGAGTTATCACTATTATATGTATTAGATATAATAAACCTAATTAGGATCCTCACACTTATTGAGGTCTGTGATTTATGTTGTGATTATAGTGTGGGTGATGTATAAATGCAATGTATTATATTGTATGAACATACGTGCATAAGTGCATGCATGTTAACTTAGGAGTGAGCAGGTATTGTAGGTCTCCAAGGACAGGGAGTGACCAGATGGGGCTATCGGTGGTGCCAACCCTGAGTTGCCATGTGTATTCTGACGGCCGAGTCGAAGGGGCATAACGGCTGAGTGGGCAGCGCTCGGGATTCGTAGGCCTAAGGGTCCAGGTTCGGTCCCTAGCAGAGGCAGAAACAAATGGGCAGAGTTTTTTTCACCCTGATTCTCTGTTCACCTAGCAGTAAACAGGTACCTGAGAGTTAGACAGCTGCTACGGGCTGCTTCCTGGGAGGACGGGGGGGGAGGGGATCAGTTGATTGATTAACAGTTGAGAGCGGGCCCAAAGAGTCGGAGCTCAACCCCCGCAAGCACAACTAGGTGAGTACACACACCGGTGTAACAGCTAGTGTGCTACAGGTTTCAGTCAATTGTACAACTGCTTTGTGTTACAAATAAGGATAATCTCCTGGAAGTCCTATACAGTATTGTGCTCAAGACTGTTCCTACCTATAGTCCCAGAGCTACCTAAAAATGCTAGCTCTTGACTCTATTTAAGCCTATTTAAGAGATTTGTCACCCTCACACACAAGCTCCGCATTTCTCTAAAAAACCTTATTAAGGCACTGCCAGCAAGGTTCAATTCACTTGCTGTTGTGTGAGGGGGGACTATGGCAGGGCACAGCAAGTGAACATCATTGACAAGAGATGAAATTCAGTGTCTGATGTTGCGGCCTGGCTACTGTGGTGAGGAGCGCCTGACCTCACGTCTGCGCTGCCCAGAGGCTGGGAAGAGGAGTAAAGCATTGAAAGTACAAAGAAAATCATTATTATTCAATATGTGCTGTTACAATTACACACAAAATGTGTGGAACTAGGCTGAACTCTGGTAATGGGTTACAAGGCTATTATACCTACCAAAACTGTTTTGTGGTCCTAATGGTGCACAAAAATAAATAAATAAATATATATATATATATATATATATATATATATATATATATATATATATATATATATATATATATATATATATATATATATATATATATATATAATATAATATAATAAACACTATGATGCATGTATGTAGTGTAATAACAGCCAAAACTGTATATTTTATAACTGAAAAAATATAATATTGTGGTTATGTTAGTGACAAGTGTATCTGGCCTTGACACTATCGCTCACCGGGCAGGCGCGCGGTCAACTTAGGGGTCATGCACCAAGCGTGCGGGCGAGCGTGCGGGTAAGCGCATGGTGACACCTAAATGTGTATACTCGTTTCAGCCTTCTCACCTTAATTCTCGTGCTACGTCAC